AGCAAAGGTGTGAATGTTAACAAGGCAAAGGGGAATGTAGAGATAGTAGGAACTGCAGATGCTGGAGAATCCGAGACAACAAGGTGCAGGGCTGGATGAACACAGCAGACCAAGCAGCATCATAGGAGCAGAGAGGCTGACGTTTCGGGCCTAGACCCTTCATCAGAAAAGGCTAGCATTTTTGCAGGAAGGTGGGTGGGAGGAGGAGTATTCTAGGTAGCTGTGGGAGTCGGTGGTTGCCCGATATGGAGACAGAGAGGTCCAGGAAGGGGAGAGAGGTGTTAGAGATGGTCCAGGTAAACTTAAGGTTGGGGTGGAAGGTGTTAGTGAAGTGTATGAACTGTTCGAGTTCCTCATGGGAGCACGAGGCGGCGCCGATACAGTCATCAATGTAACGGAGGAAGAGGTGGGGTTTAGGGCCGGTGTAGGTACGGAAGAGGGATTTTCTGATGAAGGGTCTAGGCCCGAAACGTCAGCCTCTCTGCTCCTATGATGCTGCTTGGTCTGCTGTGTTCATCCAGCCCTGCACCTTGTTGTCTCAAAGGGGAATGTAGATCCCACTTTACAATCAGATCAATCATGATTTTATTAAATGGCAGAGCCTACTCCTGTTCCTTGTTCAGTAGGAAATAACAAATGCACATAGCAGGAACGACATGCTTATAGCAGATTTTAATTTTCAGACTGAGGGATGCAGAACAGCTTATGCAATAAACACAGGACACATTTAAAATTAATTTGGACTAATATTCTGAACAAGTATATTCTAGAACCAACAAGACTGCAGGCCATATCAGTTTTGGCAATGAATTAGGATTTGTTAGCTCACTGACTGTATGACCCACGTTGTGAAGAATGACGGTATAAATGAATTTGCAAGAGAAAGTAAAGTCACAAAGCTATGAAAGTGAAGGAAGGCCAGCTGGAAGGAGTTGAGAAATAAACTGCCTACTGTAGACATAGCTTCCCTGTTAATGGATTCTGTAATAATCTGCATTACCATTTGTTCAAACTGTATTAAATTCACTGAGTTCCTCCCCCAACTTATTTTCAGCGTCCATTGTATCAGTCGTGTTTTGTTCTTTTCCTCCATAGTGAGGCATGTAGTCCATTAATAAATCTACCATTTTCATTACTAAAATTTTTACCTACAACTGCAATTAATGCCACAAAACGATTCAAAAAAGACAGAGAAATTCTTTCCTCTGGCAGACAAATCCAGACCAAAGGGGCAACACCTTAAAACTGGAGCTTAGCTCCAAGAAGTGAAGTCAGTAAAAGACACTGTGAAACTGGCGGATTTCTGTTAAAAACCTAACTGGTTCACTTGTGTCATTTAGGGGAAACATGTGCCACTGTTAACCATTCACTGCAGCCCCACACCAATGTGGTTCATTCTGGTGTAGCAAGCGATTATTCAACTCAAAGTTGCTCAAACTTCTCAGGAAAACAATTTGGAAAATAAATAGAACTGCCAGTACCATCTTGAAAATGAATTCTAAAAATTTATTTCTAAAGAGCACCATTTAACAAACAAAGAAAAACTTTCACCCCATTGAATAGGTCATTTTTTAAAAATTTCGCCTGCAATGTGCATGGCTGATGTTGCCACAGGTTAGAACACTATTCAGTCTATTGCTTGGATTGTCTAGGGCACTAATTGTGAACAGACACTAGTTAAGACCTTTCATCATTTGCCTTAGACCTCAAAGCACCTGTAGTATCATACAGAGATAGTAGGAACTGCAGATGCTGGAGAATCCGAGACAACAAGGTGCAGGGCTGGATGAACACAGCAGGCCAAGCAGCGATAGGGTTAGGGTTAGGGTTAGGGTTAGGGTTAGGCTCATATGATGCTGCTTGGCCTGCTGTGTTCATCCAGCCCTGCACCACTGTGTAGTATCATACAGAGTCTTTTCAGTTATTGTATGTTATCACAAAGCATCAATCTCCAGATTCATACAATTATCACATTCAGCAGGACTATCATAAATGCCAAAGCCAACATTCATACATAAGTTTTTAAAAGATTTGAATGCATAAGTAAATATAACATGGTCTATAATAACAATAACCATTTCACACTACCCTCCCAAGTATCCATCTTTTTCACAACATTGGATTATACAAATATTCAAAGGACCATAAAGTACAAGGGATATCACCGAGTATACTTTATCCATTCGTCTATTTTGAAAGGCCACAATTCCCTTCACTGCTATTCTATGAAGGTCTATTTGATCATCATGCATAAAGGATCTCTTGGAATCAGTCCAAAACGTAACTTTCACTAGTTTGAACTTGCCTTCCTTCTTTCTACTGTAATAATTTGGACTTCCTAATTTCCATTCCAACAGCTCATTTTTCGAAGAACGTTTCTTCCCCCTATAACTAGGCCTCCGTATAAGGAGCAGATGAGACAGCTCCTAACACCTGGTGATGCTCTTACAACAGGATTGCGGATGTGAAAGTTATTTTGCCCAAAGCAAAGATTTTTTCTTGCTTGGCTACGTTGATGCAGGCAGTAATGTGTTCCAAATATATTACAGGCACTCAAGTTCAAATGAATTCTTTGTGAATTGTTGTAAAGCATTTCTGACAGGGAAAATGTACATAAGTGTAAGTCAATCTTAAACTTACAACAGTCATTAAGCCATCCAAACAATACTTTGATTCCCCATTCCACCCCTGAAATGACAGCTAGACTTATTGGTTACAGTTGGAGGAGAAAAGACAGGTCTTAAAAAATATCTGACACAAACAGCAACACAACAGCCAACAAAATTTGAACTTCTTTTTCCTCAAGCAATTTAAACATTTTAAATTTACACTCACATTATACACGTAGGCACCCAAACAAGCAGTCGCCTCCAAAAAACTGTCCACATATCAGATGACTAACCAAAACCAGCCCATCAGCTTCCATAAACTGTTAATCCAACTTTCTACATTAGGAAACTGTGTTTTATAACTCTTCTATGCCAATGACATTGTTGCATAATCACACTATGAAAATAAGACTGACACTCCTTACTCGACATGCAAGTGCCCTGCCTACAGTGTGCACTCTCTTCATAACTAACACTGACATTAAACACTACAGAACAAGCAGCCTTGCTAACAAAGTCTGTAAGTGTGATCACAGTACTGTTTTGATCTTACAAGATCTGTACTGTGGAGTTAATTACAGTTTTGCAAGACATTATACAGGTTCAACCCATGTAAAAAGGCTCAGTTAGTGACTTTAATTACTGACTTGCTAAATAGATACACACTGAAAGAAAAAGGCATTACTCAGGTTCTTAATATATTCAGTAACAGTAAACACTATTTATCACAGTCAAAACCTGGTTAGTTGTTTCTGAAACCTGTCTTAAGGAAGTGACCTGTTATATGTTATAGGTTTAAATGACAATTGGCCAGTTGTTGTTGGGGTCGACCACAGATCATCAATAATCAAGACAATGTATTACACTCTAAACGAGAAACACCCTAAGCTGCTACAGTACCAGCACTAGTAAGCAGCAATTCTAACTGGAGAGAATTTCAATATAAGTTACTGTAGGTTAGATAATGTACGAGTACAGCTATGACACAGACAAACCATCATTGTGCTAAACGGCAAGAAGGCTTGAAGTACCAAATGGCCTACTTCTGCTCTTAATTCCTATGCTTGTACCGATCACTTTACATCAAAGTACAAGGAATCTACCTCAGAAAATCTATTTTCTGACCCGAAACGTCAGCTTTTCTGCTCCTCTGATGCTGCTTGGCCTGCTGTGTTCATCCAGCTCTACACCTTGTTATCTCAGATTCTCCAGCATCGGCAGTTCCTACTATCTCAGAAAATCTATGTTTTGCATTTGTTGGGGAACATCTGATTCAGCAAAAAAAACTTGAAAATTCACAATTCAATACATACACCCTATTCCAAGCAATCAGCACGTGAAGATACTTTTACCTTGGTATTGAGTTAAGTTGCAATCATTTGAAAACCCATAAGGAGCATACTGTGCAGAGTTGAATGAATACAATTCTGTAAATGTTCCTGAGCTAAAACCCTCCGTCTCCCTTCCTTCAACAAGACTCCTTAATAAGCTATCCCGTTCAATAAATTACTTAGCCTGTCACGAATTGCCAGTTTTCTGTTAAAATGCCATATTATGTTTCCCATATTAAAGGTCCTGCATGAAGGAGAGGTGTTGCTGATGGGTAGCGGGGTGACAATGAACTGACTTCTAGAAGCCCAGGCAATTGTGATAGGATGTCAGACCCGGGAAATGCTGGGCGGGGGCTTGGAACTGCGATCCTTCCATCAACACCAACACACGCCCTGACATTTCCCATGGCTGGAGCGAGATAGGGGGAACCTTAGTCGCTGGAAGCCACTGTTCGTAAATAAACAATAATCAGAGGCCCAGGGAGCAACTTCCGCTCACCCTCACGACTAAGGTCTACGCGGAAGTGCCACCCTTTCCCCGCAGTCGATTGGATAAGCATCCTGATTGATGGGTCACACTGCGATGCAATTGGCAGAGACAGCTGTCAATCAGACCGCGAGGCCCCACTCTACCGTGGAGCAGCCGGCAGATGACGGCCCAGCCCAGGGCTGCAGACAGTTGGAGCGGTGGAAACCTCACTCTGTGGGGAGCCTTCCTCGGTTCCTGGGAGGAGAGGACAGTTGCCTCTCCAATCCACGAGGGAAAGGTTCCTGATCTAACGGCCACAGCTCAGAATCCTCCACCCACTTCACACTAACCCTGCCCTCCGCCGTGCTGTGATTCGACCGAGCCGCGGAATGACACCAGCTCCAGCAGCCATACCCCGTTCCCATTGGCTGAGGCGGCTATCAATCAGCGACCGCCCCGCCCAGTATGGTGACGCACGCGTGTTTCCGCTGTAAGGCGGCGGGGCCGCGGCCGGATCCGGAGCGTAGGGGGCCCCAGACCCCACACAAACTGTTCCCGGTCACAGGCCACAGTACAGCACTGTTCGCTTACTGGGTCTGGGTCTCCTCGGGCTGGAAGGCGAGCTCATGTCGAGTGACAGGTCGATACGTCGCCGCGCTTCCCGGTTCTCCTGTTTTAGCTTGGCTTCTAGGCGCGACAGCTTCTGCTCCAGGGAGGACGCCGCCATCTTAGCGCGATACAGGGAGCGGGCAGTGCGCAGGCGCCGGCAGCCCGCTTGTTAATGCGCCCATCCCCCTCTGCAAGCCAAATACAAACCACAGCATTTCACCACAATACACCTTGAAACGTTGACTGTTCCTTTCTTCCAGATACCACCCGGCGTAATGTTCTTCCAGCCTCCTATCTGTCTGCCTTCGATTCCAGAATCTGCAGATTTTTTTTGTCTCTAACCAAGTTTTACCACTGTGAAGTCTCTTCAAAGGATGCCCACTTTGAAGAAGTTCTCTGCTTCCCTCAGACGTGAGCTCAGTGAGCCCCGCTGCTGTGACCTCTTCAGCCCTTCAGCTCCTCGACCATACTATGAAACAAAAGTCCTGAAGAAGGGTAATACCTGAAACATTGCCTGCTCTTTTCCTCCAGATGCTGCCTGGTCTGCTGTGTTCTTCCAGCCTCCTGTTTGTCTGCCTTTGGATTCGAGAAACTGCTGTGATTTTTGTCTAACTATACACCTTCTCCAATATGGTTCAATATGTGCGCTATGCAATATACATTATTTAGATACAATGTGGTCCAACATCCACCACTATATAGCATTAGGTAATAAAGAATACTGTCCAATGTACACCACCAAATGTTATTATCAAATATACAGTACTTTTTAATATATACCACTATACAATTCATTATTCAATATGCAATAAATGAAACAGACAACATTGACCTGGTGTCCTTTTGGCAACTTTGGCGGCTGTTTTCGTTGGTGTCTGTCTGGGTTTCTTTCTGGGAGCTTCAGTCAGTCTGTGACTCCATACGGCATTTTTGTTTTGGCATTGTGGTTGGTCCAGCCCAGGATTCCAATGGCAGGTTCGGGTCCTGTAGTCCAGAGCTGTGAAATGGACTAAAGGGACTTTGTAGAAAATTCACTCTTAAATGCATTTTTCTTTGCTATATTATTGTGGCAGGCCTGTTATTCTGAACTTTTTATTTCTTTATTTTTCTGTTTACTTCTCAAGGTCTGCAGTGCCAATTTTTTTATTTCTTTACTTTTCTAATTTTTTTCCTAAGAACTTTGTACCCAAGAATTTGTACCTAGGTACCTTTATACCTAAGAAGGTGCTGTAAGTGGCGACTTGTAAACTTTTCACTGTACTCGTGTGAGTACATATGACAATAAAGCTAATTCAATTCAATATCAACCACTTTACAATATTCAATATAAAATACTGTCCAATATAAACCACTGTCAAATATCTGCCACTATGCAATATGTAACATTATTCAATGCATACTGTTATCCAATATATTATTCAATTTACACAATGTACAATATTATTCAATATACACCACTGCCAAATATTCAATAGAACATAGAACATTACAGCTCAGTACAGGCCCTTCGGCCCTCGATGTTGCACCAACCTGTGAAACCAATCTGAAGCCCATCTAACCTACACTATTCCATTATCATCCATATGTTTATCCAATGACCATTTAAATGCCCTTAAAGTTGGCGAGTCTACTACTGTTGCAGGAAGGGCATTCCACGCCCTTACTACTACCTCAGACATCTGTCTTTTATCTATCACCCATCAATATTGTTTGGTACACACTGTTTATGGCTCTACCACCTTAACTGGCAGAGTTCTAGATTCCCACCATCTTCTGGATAAAAAAGATTTCCCTCACATATCGTGTAAACCTTCTTCCCTGCCCTTTACCTTAAATGAAGTGAGGTGAGAGTGACAGCAAGGCTGCATTCAACTGAGTGCGGTATCAAGGAGCCCTAGCAAAACTGGAATCAATGGGTATCAGGAGGCAAACTCCCTCCACCATCAATGCTTAGTAGCAGCAGTGTCTACAAGATGCACTGCAGAAATTCATAAAGATCTTTAGACAGCACCTTCCAAACCCACGACCACTTCCATCTAGAAGGACAAGGGCAGCAGATACATGAGAACACCACCACCTTCGAGTTCCCGTCCAAGCCCCTCACCACCATGACATGGAAATATATCACCCTTCCTTCACTGTTGCTGGGTCAAAATCTTGGAATTCCCTCCCTAATGGCATTGTGGGTCAATCCAGTGGACTGCAGCAGTTCAAGAAGGTAGCTCGTGACTACTTTCTCAAGGGCAACTAGGGATAGGCAATAAATGCTGGCCAGACGGCAATGTCTACATCCCACCAATGAATAAACAAAAAAAGCATGATCCTGATCATCAATCCCTCCATCAAGGGAAATCTTTCTTCTTCTCTGCCCTATCTATGCCCCTCATAATTTTATACATCTCAATCATGTCTCTTCTCAATTTCCACTGCTTTAAAGAAAACAACCCCGTTGTGCCCAATCTCCCTTCATAATTTAAGCTCTCCAGCCCAGGCAACATCCTGGTAAATCTCCAGTGCTATCACATCCCTTCTATAACGTGGACTTGAGAACTGAACACTAGCTGTGGACTAACCAATGTTTTATGCAGTTCCAGCATAATCTCACTGCTCTTCCACTCTTTGCCTCAACTAATAAAGGCAAGTATACCATTTTCAGCCACTTTATCCACTTGTCTTGACACCTTGAGGGAGCAGTGTACATGTACACCAAGAACTGTCTGATCCTCGATCTTACCATTCATCATGTATTCCCTCATATTGAAAAACACCAAATAAAACAATCCAAGAAAACTCTGAGATAGTAGGAACTGCCGATGCTGAAGTCTGAGATAACAAGGAGTGGAGCTGGATGAACACAGCAGGCCAGGCAGCATGAGAGGATCAGGAAAGCTGACATTTCAGGTCTGGACCCTTCTTCAGAAATGGGGGAGGGGAAGGGGGCTCTGAAATAAATAGAGAGAGGGGGAGGTGCTGACAAAAGGTGGATAGTGGAGCAGATAGATGGAGAGAAGACGGACAGCTCAAGGAGGCAGTGATGAAGCTAGTAAAGGTGAGTGTTGATAGGAAGTTGGGATGGGAGTTGGTCAATGAGGAGGGAGGGGCAGGTAGGTGGGAGGGAAGACAGACAGGTCAAGGAGGCGGGGATGAGAAGGGGTGCTGGTCTTGGGATGAGGTCAGGAGTGGGGAGATTTTGAAGCTTGTAAAGTCCACATTGAGACCATTGGGTTGTAGGGTTCCAAGGCAGAATATGAGGTGCTGTTCCGCCAGTTTTCGGGTGGCATCATTGTGATACTGGAGAAGGCCCAGGATGGACATGTCATCCAGGGAGTGGGAGGGGGAGTTGAAGTTGTTCGTGACTGGGAGGTGTTGTTGTTTGTCACGAACCGAGCGTAGGTGCTCCATTAAGTGGTCTCCGAGCCTCTGCTTGGTCTCCCCGATGTAGAGGAGGCCACATTAGGAACAGCGGATACAATATACCACATTAGCGGATGTGCAGGTGAACATCTGTTTAATGTGGAAGGTTTTCTTGGGGCCTGGGATGGAGATGAGGGGGGAGGTGTAGGGGCAGGTGTAGCACCTCCTGTGCTTGCAGGGAAAGCTACCAGGGGTGGTGGGGCTAGTGGGCAGTGTGGAACGGACGAGGGAGTTACGGAGAGAGCGGTCCCTCCGGAAGGCAGATAAGGGTAGGGAGGGAAATATATCCTTCGTGGTGGGGTCAGATTGCAGGTGGCGCAAGTGGCGGAGAATGATGCGTTGAATCCGGAGGTTAATGGGGTGATACGTGAGGACAAGGGGAATTCTGTCTTTGTTTCTATTGCGGGGAGGGGGTGTGAGGGCTGAGGTGCGGGAAACGCAAGAGATGCGGTCGAGGGCGTTTTCGACCACTGTGGGGGCGGAAATTGCAGTCCTTGAAAAACGAGAACATCTGGGATGTCCGGGAATGGAACGCTTCATCTTGGGAGCAGATGTGGCATAGGTGGAGGAATTGGGAATAGGGGATCGCATCCTTGCAGGAAGGTGGGTGAGCGGAGGTGTAGTCGAGGTAGCTGTGGGAGTTGGTGGGCTGTTTTCCACTGAAACACCATCCAGTTAAAGACTAACAAGTAAAACCCTGTCCAATACAACACTGTTTACAGTAAAACACTATCCAGTAAAACATTGTCCAGTGTAACACTGCTCTGCTGCACCCTCCCCTTTTTCATTCCCTATGTCCAATTGCCGCTTCTCTAAACCACTCTTCCACTGATCCTGCTCCTGCCCCCCTCTGCCCATTTGCTCCCATCTCCATACGTTCTTTGCGGACCCACTCTTCTGCCCCCATCACCTCTTGCACCCTACCCTAATCTCCTCCCACTTATTCTGTTCCAGTTCTCTCACCTTCATTTCTCCCCCTCCCCTCTCTCTTACCCCTGCCATATCCTTCTGACAGTCCCTTTGCCTCTCTCACACTTCCTCAGCTATTCCTGTTCCCCTTTCTCTGCCCTTCCTCTTAGACCTACTGCCCCCTCCACTCGCTCCTGCTGCATCTACCATCCCACCACACCACCACCTCACCCCTGCTTCCTCCAGCTCCCTTCCTAGACCAGGTCTTGGGACACCACGACTGGCTCTGCTGTAAAGCAGGGTATGGCAAAGTCCAAGCGAGCAATTGTGATAGGGAACTCTCTAGTTAGGGGCATGGATAGGCATTTCTGCAGTCATGAGCAAGACTTCAGGATGGAGTGTTGCCTCACTGGTGCCAGGGTCAAGGACATCTCAGAGCAGCAAATTCTCAAAGGGGATCCTGAGCAGCCAGAAGTCATTATACACATTGGTACCAGCGATATAAATAGAAAAAGGCATGAGGTCCTGCAGAGTGAAAATAGAGTGTTAGGCAGGAGGTTAAAAAGCAAGACCTCAAGGGTATTAATCTCTGGATTACTCCTGGTGCCATGAGCTAGTAAGAGTAAGAATAGGAGGATAGGACAAATGAATACTTGGCTGAGGAACTGGTGCAGGGGGCAGGGACTCAGATTTTTGGTTCACTGGGATCTCTTCTGGGGCAGAAGTGACCTGTGCGAGAGGGATTGGTTGCACCTTAATTTGACGAGACCAATATCCTGGCAGGGAGAATTGTTAGAATTACTCAGGAGGGTTTAAACTAGTTTGGCAGGGGAATGGAACCCTAAACTGTAGTGAGACAAGAGAGAAGGTTAAGACTGATACAGAAGTTAGAGAACAAGTTAAATAGACAAGGCAGGCAAGAGTCCAGCAGAGAACAAGGGGAGACTGATGAATTAAAATGCATTTATTTCAATGCAAAATGCCTGACAGGTAAGGCAGATGAACTTAGGGCATGAATGGGAAAATGTGACTGGGATATCATAGCTATGACAAAAACATGGTTGAGGGAGGGGCAGGACAGGCAGCTCAATGTTCTGTGGTATAGATACCACAGGAAGGATAGAAGAGGAGTTAAGAGAGGAGGGGAATGGCATTTTTGATTAGGGAAAACATCACAGCAGGACTTAGGATATTCCTGGGTTATCGTCCAGTGAAGCTGTGTGGGTGGAACTGAGAAATAAAAAGGGGGTGATCACTTTGAAGGATTTGTACATAGATCCCCAATGGCGGGAAATTCAGGAGCAAATATACAGGAAGATCACAGATTGCTGTAAGAATAATAGGGTTGTAATAATTTTTAACTTTCCAAACATACACTGGGACTGCCATCATGCTAAGGGCTTGGACTGGGCTCAAATGGATCCCTTGAGGACTTTGAAGTGCAGAAGTACATTTAAGAGAGAAATCAAGAGAGCAAAAAGGGGACATGAGATAACTTTGGCAGATAAGGTTAAAGATATCCTACAAGAAAACTTTGTCAATCGATATGTAGATGGCCCACTTA